TCGGCCGATCGGGTTGTTAAAGAGCTAAAACGACGCGCACAGAAAGAGAGATCTTTTTTTTCCCTCTCGCGATTCAGTGCCGGTCACCGTATAAAATACCGTCGACGTTGCGCGCAAAGCAGGATCTGTGCCGATCTCCTCGCTTGTGTGTGTGTCGATCGGCCGATACAACGAGAAATAGAATTTAACGAGATCTGCGCGCGCGCGTTGCAAAAACCAGTCCGTTCTCAAGTCGCAACCGAGAGAAAAGCGTTTGAAAAGTGCAGCGAATTTCTCTATCGAATGAATTAACACAACGCCGCCTTCGTCGTAAGAATACGTAACGCAAAACTTGGATCTTTCACTTCCGAACGTTCGCTATTACATCGCGTAACGTCACAAATATGGCGAAAATCTCTCTCTCTCTCTCTCTCTCTCTCTCTCTCTTTCGCTCGCTCGGACAAAACGCGTAGGTGTCCACGCGCGCACACGTGTCCGCACGGTGAAAAGGAATTAATGAGATGTCGATGAGATCACGTATGCTTTTATATTAAATTGCTCATCGAGGATGATTTCGGACTCGGCGATTTACGAAATTTTGCGTACACGCGCGAAACATTTAAAATCTCGTGCGTGTCCGGTCGCGCGCGCGCGCGCGCAATCGATAAAATGCTTCTCCTCGCCGTCGAGGAATGCCTCGTTTCGCGAGCGGAATTATTCAGTAATTACTTTGGCCGAGCTTCGGGGAATACTTTGCACTCGTTATATGCATCGAACGAATTCCGTAAAAACTTGCCGGCACTTCTTCGACTTCCGTTTGCCAGATAGGTATGTCGGGGCTGACAAAAAAAAAAAAAAGAAAGTAAAATGCTGTCGTTGCCGATTGACAGACGATAGGGACGGACATTCGTCCTTCGGGAAAACAAGTTCGGAATCGCATTGTTAATCTGCATTGCGATTGGGTTTTTGTTCTTAGGAATTTATCGTTTTTTTTTTTTTTTTTTTTTTGGAAGAAGTTGATGGAAAATGTTAAAATATATTCGCGAGAGAACTTATCCTCTTAGGGCGATTAATAAAACAATAGCTCGTGTTTGTTCAGATATAAATATTTATTATTCAAAAAATTTCATATAAATTTTTATTGTTGCGCGTCAGATCAGCATTTTCCAAGGACGTGTTGAATTTTTGTTGCTGCCACGCGGTGTAACGGTGCGACTCGCGATGGAATCGCGTGGAGTCGGCCCAGAAGAGCATAACAGTGCCTAATGATGATGACAGTCGTGATGGGATAATTGAGGAAATCTCTCCGAACAGTTAGTCGTCCAATTTTGTGTCGTTAGTTTCGTCCTGTCGCGAGCAATATAAGCGCGACTACAAGAGTTTGCCACTTCCCGCTGGTTGCGAATTTTATTATATTATAAATTGCGCGCGGATCCCGTTCGATCCGCGACGGTTTGCGAGGAAGAATACTTTTTAATTCTAGATTAAATTATCCTTCAAAGTATCGCCCGTAAAGTAAGTAAGACGCGAGAGACGGCGCGGCGCCTTTTTCCAACCGCTCGCGGTCTCGCGTTGCACCTGTGTGATGGCGCGGTTCGGGTTCAACCGTCTGATATTTTTCGCGATCTTCATTACGGTGTGACTCGAAATGCAGTCCACCTTGAAGGTGGACTAACCCCGCGCCGCGAGGTGCGTTTACCCATGAAAATGCAAATTGTACATTCTCCCTTGTAACGACTCGCGCCCTTGAACACTATTTTATGATGATTGGATGAATCTTAAAACGGCGGCGTGCCGCATTTACAGAACGGATTTAGCGTCGGCTCTCTATTGCCGTAATATCTTTTTGATCCTCTCTCGCTTGTTCGGTAATCGAACCCGCGTCCCCCGACGCGTTTAACCCGTTGCTTATTTGAGGCGTATTATAAAAAAGAAATACGCGCGCGACGACAACGTATCAGTTTCCTGAACGTGACGTGTAAGAAAAACACGTTTCAATATATAGCGCGAACCCCGTTCATAACCATGAGAAGAAACGAAACAGTAATTTCTTTTTTTGTTGTTGTTGTTTATTTTTTTTTTTTTTACAAAATCGGACAGACAAAAGAGAGCGGTAACGGGGATCCAATTTGCGAGAGCAAATATAAAATATTTGTACGTATGACGAATACGGGCTTCCAAATAATTACCTCTAATCTATTCGCTTCATTTGTCACTGTCAGCCGGTGAGTTGCAACAAGTCACTGGGTCACTGGCATATAAGTCTGTTATTACAATCGCAAGGTCAGAGACTGTCTCGTATAGCAACTCGAACCATTCTCGCGTGTACACATACGGGGGCTACATCACACCCATATAGCCGCACACGAGTCTCTCGCGAGTTGATCGGGTTACGACGTAAACTTACACCTTTACATTATTGGTCAATTGATTCACAGACTTGATTAGCGAGATAAACTAATTCGCCGTGCCGATCGACAACAGCTGATTAAGCTAACTCGAGCTGGTTCGCACAACAAATTGAGTCAATGTGACTAATGCCAGCTGATCGTTTCAAATGACGATGATGCAAGGTGAGAATAAGCGGAGAGACGGTTTTACAACATTGTGTTGTTTTTTTTTATTATTTTTCCACATTTCAATTTCGAATCTTTCATTTCTCGCGTTTGTTATTTTTGATAAAAATAACAAACAACGTACACGCAACGCGCACACATAACAATAGAATGAGAAAGATTAATTGCAAAAAAAAAAATAAAAAAGAACGCAGTCGCCATTAGTTTACGGCCTCATTTTTGTTAACTGGTTTTAATTGCCCCCCGTAATAGGGTTTAATGAGCAGGCATGCGGGCGCGTTCATGATATCATCCTTGACGAATATAAAGCTGAAACACGCGATATATATACCATAAAGAAGCCGACGGAGAGAATGACTTGTTTTTTTTACGACACTCGGCCGAGACTTCCGAAATTTGTCAAAGTCCAAATCAGTTTCATTAAAAAACGCGAAGGAATTGTAATATATTTCATATTTAAAAAACCAATATCCTTTATCCCTCTCTCTCTCTCTCTCTATCTCTGTCTCTCTCCGTTTTATTACACCGAACAAAATAAAATTGGAAGTTCCAACGACTCTGCCGCGACTTTCCTCGTCGGCCATTCGACGAGAGAGAGAGAGAGATTCTTCGAAGTAACAAACCGCGTGAGGTATAGCGCGCACACATACACACCTAGTAAAAACGGGGGAGGGGAGGAGGAGGGGGAGAGAGTTTATACTATTCACTTAGGAGATAGTCGGGAACTTGTATCCGCGCGTGCTGTGCCCCAACATGTGCGTCCACGTTTTAATAAGAAACAGCTGAGTCTCTCCCCCGTGAGGACGAATGTTTCCCGCGCGCGGAACATTCTCCGCACGCAGAATTAATGGCCCGGGATTCTTGATTTCAAGGACGTGCACGTTCGCGCGCCGAACCAAACGTTTGAAGCGAGGATATTTCGCGAGGTATAGGTAGGTAGATAGGTAGGTAGGTAGGTAGGTAGGTATATAACCCCGACGTGTTGCATTCCATCGAATCAGTACCATCGCGATAAATTTCGGTCCGTCACCTCGAGATCCACGACCGCGCGCGCGCATCTGCGCGAAGAAGAATGCCGCGCGGCGCAGCCGCGTTTCTTCTCCGGAATGAATCATTTATCACACACACGCGCGCGGGTAGTTCATATTCTATTATACGGACGGGACACAAAAAAATCTCAGCACAAAACGGATAATTGATACGCGCGCGCGCGCGTAATTAGATTCTCTCGGCGTCTTTGCATCGCGGTCGCCAATAAGAGAGAGAGACGCAACAGCATAACCGCACAACAGCGCGCGTTTTAAAGTTTTTATTCCCCATCGTGCGTTTCGGTTCTAAGTTTGTTTTCGAGAGATCCTCTCCTTCTTCTTTTTCTTCTTTGTCGGAATTGTATATTTTCTTATTGTAATAAATTTATTTTTTTTTTCCTGCGAGACAAGTGTGACGAGAGAAAAAGGGAGAGGTTCCTTCTTTATGTGCGCGCCTCCTGACCCGACCAAAGGAGAATGACTCGGAAGGAGAGACACACAGAAGAGGAATCTCTCCCTTTCCCTTTCTCCGTGGGACCAATGTTGCTTCGCTTTCATGTGTATTTGTGTGTGAGGACGAAACGAGTCTCGGAGACCGAAAACTCGTCCCAAAACTATGTAAGCTTCATTCAGAATCGCTTAACAGCGGAGAGACTACTTCGTGTAGCATGACATACCGAGGCACATACCAACACACGAGGGACGAGAGATAAAGAGAGAGAGAGAGAGAGAGAGCGGAATATAACATGTTCAATATAAACGTTCGCGTCGGTTATTCTGTGAGCGCTCTCGTCGGTGCTCCGCCGCGCACGCACCAGAGTTCGGCCGCATGCACGAGTGTATACACACATGTGGTACGTACGTACAGTAACGAGCAATGAATCGCGGAAAGATTGAGCGCAGCGAGGCCGGAGGAGGAGAGGAAGACAGTTGCCTCACACATATATAGGATCCGGCGGCCAATCCCCGCGCGCTCCCGACGACGATCTTTTCGCGATTCATTGCTCGCGTCACCGCGTACATACACCGTTTGTATGTAACCCCCGCTATGTGTGTAATATAACATTCGCGCGTAGTCGCGCGTCTCTCGCCTGTGGTCCTCGCGTGTGCGATCTGGCAATGCGGGACTTGTGTGTTTAAGCGCGTGCGCGCGCGCGCGCAAGACAACATTCGGAATCTCTCTCTTACGTTAAGTCGCGCGCGCGTTCGACATTAGAACACGAGAAGTACTTAGAGATTACGATACTCAATGAATCACGCCAGATGGTAGGGGGAGGATAGGGTAACGAGGAGGAGAGCGACGACGACGACGACGACGACGACGTGCGCGAACGAACGAGCGAGCGAGGCGAATCGGAAGTGAAAAAAGAAAAGGAAAAAAAAAAACAACGCGTAAAGCATTATGCACTACGATACACGTAATGGGGGATCCAAGGGAGTTAGAGAAGGAGACTTCCAGTGACTGTGTGGGGCTTGTGGGGGGCTCTCGGGCTCGCGCGCTCCGAACAGCGTGCGCTGTTGTCGCTTCAGTCTCTCCATGACAGTTACGGCGGTCGGGTTTGTTTCTCTTACGCTCTCGAAATTTACGCGAGCGTTTTGTTATCGCCCGCGTATTACGATACACACACACTCGTCGTCGAGCGATTACGAAAATTCACGTGTCACACGCGCCGGTGTGTATCCGGATCGCGTGTTCGCGAGGACGGAGTCTCAAGGTTTCCGCGAGAGAAGAAACGGAACTCACACAACAACTCGCTTCTCCACCTTGTATTTCGGGAGTAACATTTCAAAACGGAGCCGGAAAGTGATATCCGTGGGTCTGAGAGATACGGACATATCTGTTTTGTGCGTATACACACACACACACACACACACACACACGGACACACACGTAGAGGAGAGTGTGTCGCGTAGACAGAAAATACAAATGCGCTGACGTCATGCGCGCGAACCGAGCGGATTTCGGTAGGCACGGATTATTCGATTAAATACAAGGCGGGCTCGTATGTGTGTTGTGTTGTACACACACACACACACGCGCGAGACTTCAACGAACGTAACGGTTGCATCCACGTGACACGCCACCAGGGGAAACGCGACGCACAGCGCCTTGCACACCCGATTCCTCGCGTACTTTTCAACTCCAACGCAAAACACGAGCGAGTCCGAATAGAACAAAAAAAACAAATAAACGAGGATAATAATAATAATAATAATAATAATGCGTAACACAGTGCGAAGGTTGTAAGAGGCAGTCGAGTGAGGACATTTTTTTCTTTTTACAGAAAAAAACTCCGCGGTAACGCGCGCGGAATTTCATCAACGCTCGGCGGCGATTTGTATTATTATTCGCGTGAATTAAAACACGGCACTAAAAAAAGTTATGAACCAACACACTTGATATAAAATATAACTACGGGAAATAATACACAATTCGTTGCTGTGTGCCGTTTTTCTGGAGATAACGTTGCTCAAGATTTCGCGGAAAAAAATACCGCTCATAGTTTCCAGGAGCGAGAGAGAGAGAGAGAGAGAGAGAAGAGAGGAAAGGAAAGAGAACAAAGTGCCGAAACTTCAACAGTCCGGTTCGAGATGAAGACCGGATGACCGCGATGATATAATCGCTGGATCATGAAAGATCGCTGCGGTTGCGTTCTTACGTGCGTCGCGTCACGGCATCGCCAACCTTTGTACAAGTAAACACCGCGGCAACATGTGGTCGTCCCTCGTCGACGACGTTTCGTCGCCGGTGTCTTCTTGAACACCCGCCAAAACCACTCTTCGCGTGAGTACGCTGTACGGTATTTTTTTACTGCTTTATTATAGGACACTAGGTCGTGTGCGAACGAATTGTGCGCGCGCGTGAGTCCATGGAAAAAATTTGTCTTTGTTGACATTTTGTTAACAATCGTTCACGCCCCCCCCCCCCCCCGAAGAGATAAACTTCGACTTTTGTGAGATATATATTTTTATGGGGGAAAAAAATGTTTAAAAGTAAATACAATTAGAATTAATTTCTTTTTGGTCCTTAAGTGTGAAATTATATATGTATATAGTTTCATATTTCAAGGATCCAATAAAGAAATAAAATTTCAATTGCATTTATTTATACTTTTATCCGAATATGTTTTTTTCGTAAAGTCGGACGCGTCGATAATGGAATTTGATATTATTCAGAGCTCGCGCGCAGAAGAAGAGAAGCTCACCCAGACGAAACAACAATATATATAACTAACGTACTTCGTAAACTTGAAGAAAGTATTTTATATCAGTGCGTATACACACACACACACACACACACACGCATAAAGAAACCCATTACGATTAAAATTATACATACGACGATAAAGAATTAGGTTTCTTCATCGCGTCCCGTACGACATTGTAATAAATCCCGAGATACCCTGCTTGTTCTCGGGTACGTGTATTATATATGCGCGCAAGCCGAAGACGAAAGAGAGAGAGAGAGAGAGAGACGACAAAGCGAGAAATCATCACCGTTATAAAACGCGGATACATACAGCCGGATCGACGCAAATCGGATACACACGGTGATATCGCGGATTAAACGGCCGCGTAACGGAAGCTGTGGACGCGTTGTTTACAAGGGAGCTGCCGGATAGGGGTAAGGATGTGTGTACGTGTATATGCGCGCACATCTCTTACGTGTCCCGTGGTCGTCGTAAGCGCGAGCAACGCCTGGCAAGCCGTTGCTGCAACGTGGCTTGGCTGGTGATTCGTATAATCGTTTGCTTTATCGTCAGAAGACCGGTCAGAGTATATATGTATGTATATCTGTCGCTCGCGCGACAACGACCACTTTAACCCACCACCGGTCTGCGCGCCGCGATCTCTCTCTTTCGCGCAATTCCAAAAAACACAAAAACCTAATTACAAATTTCCGTCGTCGTCTCTCTGAATGACATCATCGTAAAATAATCATTATCCTTGGAATGCCTCGTCAATTAATTATCTACGCGTGTCTGGGCGTGACGCATACATCCCGCGTACCTACTACTCTATTCGCTTTGCTGAAACGTTCGTTTTTTTTTTTTTTTTTTCTTTTCAACGCGCGCGTCAGGATTTTATTTTTGCCTCGGTTTTTTAGACGATAAGCGAATTTGATATTCCATTGTGTTTCATCTCTTAGCGAAATAACGCAAGGAAGGAAGAATTCATTTGGAATTGTTCCTCGAGAGCTTCTTCGTCTCACTCGCGCGTTTTTTGCAAAAACGTTTATAGTTCTGCAAGATTCTGTTGCAACAATAAGAAAAATATTATATACGCACAACCGCGCGCGCGCGCGTGTGCGCGCACGATAGTAGCATTATATATCTTTGAGATAGAACAGGTAATACTGACCGAATGTAAATAGAAGCTATCTCATATTGCTCATAATCAAAGTGCACGAGATATGACGTGTCGAGTCGTTCATCGAGTCGGTCTTCAAATAAACATCGTTGTTACTTCTCGTTTAACAACGTAGTCACACACGCAAGTATTTGTTCTGCGCGCACACGCACACACACACACGCGCGCGCACACGCACACAGGAGGAATATAAATTTGTTTTTATTGCGCGTTTTTATTGTATATCTTGCAACGTTGTGTTAATTAATTCAAAAGCGACTTCTCTTCAAGCTAGTATTTAATTTATTCATAAACGTACAATGCAATGTAATAAATTTGTCAATTTTTAATCTGGTGGTGTTTTGATTCGTTTATTTAGAAAGAAATGCGCGTAATTGCGCCGGACTGCACGTAAAAAAAAAAAAAAAAAAAGCATGGAGATTATGCAAAAAGACGACGGCCGCCGCATGCAGGAAAAAACGGACGTCGCAGCGCGTAGAGCGTCGAGTCGGTTCGCGCTCGCGGGGAATGACGACGAGAAGCTGACGAGAAGCGTAAAGACGCCGGAGATGGATCCTTACAAAGAACTGGAGCTTTATCTCGCCAAAGTTAACGTAAGTAAATCTCTCGAAGTCTCTCTGCGAAGTTCGCGCGATGATTCCGTTTTGAAGCAGTTTGCGCGCGACGATTTGTTGCGTGCGCGCGATCATCTCCTCGTTGCGAAATCGATTCGGGTCCCCAGCCAACAGATTTTCGTGTGTAACCTTGTTAGAAATGTGACACATTCTTCTTCGTCGCATGTAGGTCGATCGAGCGCGCGCGCGAGCAAACCTAGTGATCGTTGCCGCTAATTTCTCAATGATTTCTTTGTGCCAACCTTGGTTACTTTCACTTTTCATCTCTCGCTTCTGATCATGTAACTAGATGTATATGTTCTGTGTTCATTTCCTGCAAAAGGCGCGCACCGCCGCCGCCGCGCCGCGCGCGCAAGCTGTGAGAGCGCCCCGCTCACTCGCGCGCGCTCTCGTACGTTGCGCTCACGCGGAGACCCAAGAGATATATGCATATATATATATATATATATGTATGTGTATATATATATATATATATATATATATATACACTGCATGTGGGTGGAAGTGTAGGATTGCCGTACATCCGGTTGGGCGTGTCGGATGAACGGTCGAACACAGTTGCGTTTGCACATCGTTAACGCAAGTAAAACATCAATGCAACTCGATCTCCGTCTCTTTCTCTGTCTCCTCCTCCCTCCCTCTCTTTGTCTCTCGCTTGGTTATTGATCCCGTATTTACTACAGTGCAGAAACGTTCACTGGATAACTGGGTAAAGAGTCCCACGAGGAGGTTCTTGTTCGAGCGACGCTGTATCTCGTGACACACACACACACACACACACACGCGCGCGTGTGTACACACATACAGAACTATCTAACGCATCTTATCAGTTTCCGCCTAGCTCAGGATGCCAGAAGATATGAAACTATATTGATGCAACAAAGTTTCCTCTACCGTGTAATGATGTGACGAAACTGGAGTTTCATTATTTCGTCGTTTACACGTTGAACGTTCCAATAGAAATCGAATGTGGTTATTGCTGCTCCAAATTCTTAGTCTTGTGTAATATTCAAATGTAATTGTTACTATTAAATATGTATATAATAATAAACGATTATGTAATAAAGAGAAATTGTTTATTATCATATATAATGATAAACAATAAACAATTTCTTGCAAATTCTTTTGGTAAAATTTCTTTCGTTTGAATAAAATTGTCACCCAAAAAATAAGTGATGTTCGTGGCGTTCAACGTGTTAAGAGAGACGAAAAAAAAAAAAAAAAAACCCGATAATAATTTTTGAGTTAACACTAGCTGTTAACTCGACGATGATATTGGTCAGAGATCGTATCTTCGGATTCGTAACTGATATTACAAGTCGATCGCTACGCCGAGACTGACCTCGAAAATAGCTTGTTACAAGCCTCCGACGGTGGAACAAGTTACATCAAAGCCACGAGATACTTCGCCGATAGTAGATGATGTATATATATATATATATATAAGAGAGACGCAGTTGTGTATTTCGATGATTCCGCCGCGTGTACCACGTATTATTTTCACGTCGCGGGCGCGCGCCACATAGAATATAACGCAATACCCGCAGCATGAAGAGAACAATGGAAAGAGCTCGCGCGTGATGAGCGATTGCACACAGCTGGACACAATCGCCGGTGCCGGTTCGAGATACCCTCGATACGTCTTCTTTACCTCATCCTTTCCTACTTTATCTTATCCCTCTAACGGGCTCTTCCTCTCACGCGCGTCAAAACATATCGCGCCCCCGCTTCACAACGAGTTTCGCAAAGTCCGTTGATTAGACCGCAAGACTTGCCGCGCACTGATTCCCATATCAAATATAATCATCAGGCGGTCCATAAACTTTGCTCGCCTCGATGCGCATAATAGTGGCGGCGTTGTTGCCACCCAGTGTGTAAAATCTCGTTAATTACATTGCGGAGGACGTATCAAAAAAAAAAAAAAAAAAAAAAAACAACGATTTCGCTTTAGAGAAAGCGCGTGATATCTTATGTTTATTTTTAATCACAAACCCAGTTTGACTCATCCTCTTTTGTGACCATATACGTCCATTTGTTGTTTCTCTTCAACAAACAGGATTTTGTTTTTTTTTTTTTTGTAAATTTATGTATACGCCACCGTAATTAAATATTAATTTTTAGAGGATCGACATTTTTTCTTGTGAAATCTTGTGCATTTGATGATCCAAAATCTGTAAAGTTGTTCTGCAGATTCAGAGCCGCTCTCTACAGTTTGCCACACACAGGCAACCCGTTCTCTAAAGATTTATTTTTTGCGCTGAAGAAGATTTCAGCAAACATCAAAATGTTTTTTTTCCATTTATTTTTGTACACGATTTGTTTGCTAATGATTTGTTTCGTTGAAGTTCTCCTCACTGCGCTTGAAATACAAGGTCTTCTTTATTTATTTATAGTCTCTCTCAATATTTTTAGTTCTTTTTCTCCAACGATATCGCATTGATTTACATCGTTGATTTATTATCCGATATCGTCTGATGATTTCTCGAGTGGGAGGATAGCACAAATCGTCTTAACTTCTCTCTTCCGATTTAGTTCGTTCTCTCCGTTCGCGGCATAATTTGATTACTGACTGAAACGTTAATTCTCTCATCCGCTTGTGTAGTCTGTCTCACGCGCAGATCGGCAATTGAGATCGGCGTGGGTGTTGCGAGAGCGAAGCGCGCGCATCGGGAGAGACTTATGCAAAGTCAATTTAGCCTGCGCGGCGGAGAAGAGAGTCTGAATCAGATCGAAGAAGAAAGTCTACCTCTGTGCGATTTTATAAAATGTTGTTGTATCATTTGTATGATATTTGAAGGTTGCATTTTGGATCGCAATTTTTTTTATATCGCAGCGTCTTTGTCTTACTTGCAGCCCCCATCGATCGCAGAGAAAACGTCATTTTTTGAAGCTCCGCTTAATCCACTTGATCGTTTTACTTTTATTTATCTTCCATTATTTTTATTTAATCCGATTGCTTTTATAGTCACGTTTATTATTTGGTGTCTTCTTAGGAGGAAATTGGCGAGATAATCGAATCGGCTGCAGTGACTCCGCTCTGCGTCGCCGAAGAGCGTCCGACGTCGATCGAAAAATCGCGCGACTACGAGGACGAGGAGTTGTTGTTCACTCTGAAGCCTCTGATCACGAAATCGCGTCTCGCGAAGAGACGAAACTCGTTGAAGAGAAGCGGCGAGGACATTATCGAATGGTCGAACAACATCCTCGCGGAATTTAACGGCATAATTGCGAACGAGATCGACAAGCTGACCAAAGACAAGAGAAGGAAGAGAACCGGGCGTAACGATAGCCAGGTGGTACAGTACAAAGAGCTGCTGAACGAATTCGGATTGTCCGACAGCGAGAGCTCGTCAGATCAAACGTCCGACTACGATTCCCGGGACGAGGACAGTATTCGAGATCGTAGATACGGAATAGTGTTCGCCGACGACACCTGTTGCTATCTGTTGAACTCGAATTACAATCGTATAATTCTCGAGGGACGTAAAAGCGGCAGCTTGCCGGAAAATCTCCAAGACATTATTGGCAAACGCGATCGGTTCCCGGTCACGGACGCTTCGGGTTCCGATTACGACGAGCCCTGCGATTGTCTGCCGACAAATTCGATCGGCAAGCAGATTACCGTCAGTCTACCGTCTGAGTTGGAACGCGAGTGGAAGGACGCACGATTCAATTCCTGCCGAGTACCAAAGATACCCGTAGAATTAAGTTTGCAGATCAGCGAAGAAAACGATATTGACAGTCTTGAAAACGGACTGTTTCGAAGTGCCAAGGACGATTCCAAAGAACCCAGTGCGAAGTTATTACCTCCACAACGATGCGACGAGGAGAAGAGTCTCTGTATAGATCTGACGAATCAACGACAACTTCGAAGAGGATCGCAAGATCAAGAGATCGGTGACGATCTCGATGACGATGTTTTTCCCAACGAAAAGAACAAGAGATCCAGATCTCTGGAAAATTACGAGCCAAAGTCCGTGGCTCTCACGGAAGAGAAAAAGTTATCGCTTTCGAAATTGTTGAAAAAGCGACACGCTCCGATGTTCCATTGGAGCTGTTCCAGCATTAATCTGGCGAATGTGTTCTCGAATCAAAATCTGCTGCGTTTGAGAAACAACAAAATTCACGAGACGAAGAACGACAAGACGATGACGAAGAAGAGAGCGATATCGCCGTTAAATCTGTGCTGCGATATCACCGCGAAAAGATTAACGAATCGACAGATCAACTCGATGGATTTGAGGAAATTCTCACCGTCGAGCAACGACGTCGCGGTGAGTTGCGACTTGTCCGAGGACAATAACGACAACGACAACGACAACGTCGAAAACTGCGATAACGAAAACGTGACTCTCGGCAAGCTGGAGTGCACCGTTGTGAGGAGATTTACGGACGAGCCAAGCGCCGGAACGGAATTGGTGCCCATTCTTCCGCAGTGTCTCCTGTCGAGAATACAAAACAGTTCGGATTCAAATTGTGTGATAAGTAATTTGCCGATGAATTCTACCATGTGTTTCGACGTGGCGACTCAAACCTCGCCGGCTATTTCGAGAAGTTCCAGCTTCACTTGGGTCAGCGATTGCGACTCCCCTCAAGGTAATTTTTCCAATTCTCTCTAATGTACATTTTTTTCTCAAGTGTCAAAACAAACAATTTCTAAGATATCACCTAATTTTTTTTTTTTTTTTTTTTTTTTTTTTTCAGTAATTTTCGAACCGAGCGCGTTAGATTCGGTTTCTCAAGACACCGTGGATTACAGCACGTGTTCGTTGTCGTCGCAGGACTTGTTGCAGAGCATGGATGAGATTTCTTCTAGAAGCTTATCGTCCGACTCCACTGATAGAGCGTCTCCGCTCGAAAGTGGAATTGGAACGGCAAGTCCTCCGCGAAGCACAGACCGGAGATTGAACAAATGTAAGATAAGATATTTTCTTGTTTATAGACTTTTTTGATATTTTTAAAACTCTGAAATCACACAAATTCAAATTGAATTAATTTGAGAAAATTAATGACATGTTGAAATCGCGTCGATCGCGTCGATCTTATTCATATTTTCTCTCTCTTTTTTTTGTTTTTGCGCAGTAGCCGTGAATAAATATCATCGCAAAGAGACGTGGGAGCGAATTCGGCGACAATCATCGAAAATGCGTTTGCGAAGCGACAAACACTCGCAAGATGTGTGGATCAAACGCGAAAACACGCACGCACAAACGAACAACAACAATTCCGATCGATACCTGCTTCATGCGGACAGCAGTAGCAGTCTCGATGACTCCTTTCCAAAGATAGAAACGTCTCAAGAGGCAGAATATACATTTCAATCGGAAGAATTATGCTGCTTCAGAGCGGCAGCCGATATATATTTAAGAGAGGTTTTAGAAGACAGTTGTATTATTCAAGATGCTACACAGTTGAGTGGATTTTTTAGTTGCTTTGGGTTACCCAGACACACGAAATACACCAATAATTGTTTCAATATACCTTTATCTGTTAGCGTTGAAAGATACGGGAACATAATACCTCCCTGTATTCAACAGGCTATTAATTGGTTGTTAGAAAACGGTCTTGAATACGAAGGTATTTTCAGAAAAAACGGGCTCAAGTCCCGCATTACGAGTTTGCGACTCCAAATGGAGTCCGACGCTACCATTACATTTGATGATGTTACGGCCTACGATGTGGCCGATATCATCAAAGAGTATTTTAGAGAAATTCCTGGTGGTTTAGTACCGGAAAATATTTCGAAATACTTAATAGCAGCGTTCACTGGTAAGTCTGATTTCTTTCTGCAGTTTATGATTTTGTTTTGTTTTTTCTTTTTTTTCTTTATTTTTTTTTTTTTAGTTTGTTTCTAAGCCGGCAGAGGCAAAAAAAGTAAGACCTTGTAATGAAAAACAAATTACTTTTGTAGGAAATGTAGAGCCCAAATTGGATATTACGCAATGCGCACTGATATTACTTCCCGACGAGCATCGGGAGGCGTTAAAAGTATTACTCGACTTGTTAGTACAAGTAGCATCCAAAGCAGAATTTAACAAAATGACCAAAAAAAATTTGGCTACCTGTTTAAGTTTAACTGTGTTCCACATTAAGCAAGGACCGGCGTTTCCGAGCTCGAGAAAGAAAAAAGAGAATAAATACAAGGAACAGGAGGACAAATTTATCGTCGCTGCTAATAAGTGTCTGACGTCCTTGGTCGAATGGCAAGAGAGATACCTGTTGTTCAAAATGAGATGAGTCGTGAACCGGAATCTTGAAACGAAGCTTTGATAATTGTGCAAATTGTGAAACAAATTCTATATAATCAAAGTCTAATGAATTGTACATTTGTGAAAAAACAGCTCGACGCGATGTTCGAGAGAATCGTATCGAAGCGCGGAAATATAACGAAATATAATGACACTGATGTATAAATAAATTTATATTGATTATATATCAAAAAAAAAAAAAAAAATTAATGCTGATATAATAAAATCTTAATATATAATACACTCACATATATTATATATGCTAAGATTTTATTGCGTGTGAAAAGAAAGGCCTCTCCCTCTTCGCTTTCATTCACAAATTCCTATATTGCGCGCCCAACCCATCTTTCCCTGTTAGACGTGGACTTCGTTTCGTATGGATACAGTCAAGCTATTCTTTGATCGATTCGATCTCTAAAAATTTTCCTTCCGTCCCGCTCTTTGGCAACGATTCTACGCTTCCTGGTTAATTTTTATTCTGCGCACGCGTGATCGCATGGCAATGTATGCCAGTGGCGTTTTTTTGACGGACAACGCCTCTGATTAGCCGAGAAGATCGCGCGACGTTTAAACGTAAGTATCAATAAAAGTATTATTAAAATAATATTTTGAGTGAGAAGAGAACGCGTGAACGAGCTCCTAAAAACAAATATCTACATTTTACGACGAAATAATCTACTGCTCTTTTTTTTTTTTTCATTGTTCTTTATATTTATATCCTGCAGAGAATATCATATCAAACAATTTATGTGTGTATGTGAATATATATACGGAAAAATATACATTTTTATGTACAAAATAGTTAATATGTTAGAAAAAACAAGTGATTAAATTACATAGTCTTAGAATCAACTTTAAAAAGATAATACAGATTGAGAGTACGTGAATGTGTGCGTGCAAGTGACGCAATTTGTTTTTTTTTTACGTAATACAGGTTTCCAATGTCTTTTTCACCGCATCACGAGCGTACGGTATGTACGATAAGGAGTACCACGTCATAGCTAACGACTGAATAATTATGAATAGAAGAGCTAGACCAGGATTGTGCAACTGAAAATTAAATACATTTTAAACGCACTGAGAAAACAAAAAAATTAGCGAAAAAAAAAAAACTACTCACGTGTAAAGCTGCAACCAGTGTTAAAACAATAGAAACTAATACTAATAAAGTTGCAATTATTCTTGTGGTCGCAAACATCTTTTTAATTTGGTTGAACGGACCCATCAGAAAGCACGTACTGTGATACAAAAGAAAGAAGAATCAATATTTTTTTTCAATTTTGGTTTTGTTTTTTTCTTTTTTTTTCAATCAAAAGTTTGAACGATTCTGTGTCGATTGAGAAAAAAAATTGAACAAATCTCTAGTAGCTTTGAAGATTATAAAGCGTTTAAAAAAATTACTGTTTTCTAAAAAACATCAATTTTTGAGTGCGTCTGGGAAACTCATGTTTGCAGGCAAAGGGTTATGTATATTTGATATACCATATGTATCAAATACGTACTACGTATGTTTGTAAGAATATGTTGTTATCGAATACAATACAGAGTGTGAATACCAAAAATGATTGACAACACTAATACAATTGGTATATTACACTGTAACTATGTTATGTTTTTACCTGGCTAATGAAATCAAATTGCCTAGAGTATAGAATACAGCAAAGACGGCTAGACCCTTTTGTAAAAACAGAGCGAATGATCCAAGAAATGAACACAAGATTCCTACGATAAAACAAATGGCAAAACCTTTTATCCTGGTAGACCAGCTTAACGTTGATTGGTCCATGACCTGAATTGAAATGAAATAAACAAATTAATCTAATCTATAATATTTGCATCACGCCAGATAGAAGATTGGTCATCAAAATGTTTTCACATTATTTAAAGATATTGCAAGCGTTATATATACATCACACAATTCTTTTTGTAATTTACCATAAAATCTGCATCAACCTTCCATTGTCGACCGCATGTGGACATTTAAAGCAATAATTTTAGTTTATGTATATAAAAAACCACAATTTTCATATACGTACCATGTTACTTACAGCTAGAGAGTTTGTAAATTATCTATTAAAACGTAATTACCTGTGTAATAATACCACTCTCCTCGTCACAGCGTTCATTGCCGTTTAAGGCTCTTCTTAATTTATCCATCTCTTTGAGAGCGAAACAAATGCGATTAAAAAGTTCAGATATTCAGAGATAAAATGTCGCACACACTCGCTATTTTAATTTTATGTTGCGTTTTTCAAAAAACTTCTAACATATTCCTTTTTGTTTTGCGTGTTGACGTGTGCCTTCACATCGATCCGAAGACTTGATCTTGTTTGTTTTTTTTTTTGTCTTTCCTATTCTTCTTATTCTTTCTTTCACTTCACACCGACTTACAAATGTGTTATTTAGATAAACGTGATCCAAAATTGACGTGTATCATCCGCCTCCGTGAGATCATATTCCGTTTTCAGTTACAGGTTAGATTACATCGACATATGTTTTTTTCACGCTCGCGTACGCGCGTGTTCTTATCAGTATATAAATAAGTTTCTTCGAATCGAAATATCTTTCGTGTAAATTTCGTTGGGAATCTTCCTGCGTTCGAGCAACAAACGGATCTTAAAAGAAATTGAATTTGATCAATCTATTTGAAGTATAATTTGTATACACACACATACGCACAATTGGAAAAATTGATCGATTTCTCCGCTTTCTGTCAAAGATCAGAGATATTTATAGCGCCGTCTGTATAACTTTAGAAACTTTGTTATCCACTGGAAAATCTTAAACTAAGCGAAAAAATGGACCAATCCATTTTGTTTCGATCGGCCGAATTGACCAATCACTTTGTTCCGATTAACCGAATTGACCAATGCGAGTGATACTCGACTATTTAAATTCCTCAAAATGGTTCTGATCTTTGCTGCGATTTCGATCCTTGCTTTTGCGATGCGGTTCGAGTCTTTGCTGTACCGCAACTGTCCGCAACTGTCGTAACCTAGCCTAGCCAAGTTACCCGATTTGTTTCTATGAGACACAGTAAACCAGAAAAGAAAAAAGAGACAAAGATTTTTGAGTTTTGTGGATATATCGAACGCTTCAAACGAACATGAAGTTTATGACAAAAATGTTTGGTAATTTGAGACATATAAAGTGTGCGTTTGACAGAAGATCGTATTTGTTATCGTTGGATAACGTCAACGTGCAAGCGAGATACAAAACTAAAAACATCGCAAGACCTAAAGCCATCGAAATAAATAAATACAAACACCAAGAATCGACTGGAATACTTGGCTATTGCTTGTTGGCAAGTAATGCGACATATGAATAATATATCTTTTTTACAAACTATTTTTCTTTAATATACAACTATTGTTTAATATAAAAATGCGTGTATGTGTGTGTGTGTGTGTGATAACAATTTAAATGTAATCTTTAATACATATTGGAATATTTTTACAATTCAGAGTGTACCTGTTCTTACTTTTGCTCTTGGTACGTGGCAAATTAAAAGATGGCTGTGGAAGCTAGATTTGATAGATAATATGAAGCAACGCACTTCAGCAGAACCAATCAGCTTGCCATCAAAGTAAGATTGACGTTTAAAATCTTGTTTTCTATTTAATTATTTTTGTATTTTACTTAGTTTATATATATATATATTTTCTGTAGCCTAGATGAGCTACAAGATAAGGAATACTATCGTGTAAAAGTAAAGGGCAGATTCCTTTATGAAAAAGAATTTTTAATAGGACCTAGAAGTCTTATTCTGGACGGGGCAGGTGTTGCTGAAAAAGGCGGTGCAATGTTCTCTCACAGATCCGGCACAGGATATTATGTTGTTACGCCTTTCAAACTAGAAGACCAAGAGTGATTATAATTGCTTTTTTTTCTGTCAATCGTCGTTAATTTATAGAAAAAGAATTCTCACGTGCATACATAACTTTTTTCGTTCACAGTTTTTTTCTTTACTTGTGGAATCAACTGATAAAACTTGTATTGCTTAAGTATTGATTTTCATGATTCATATTTCATAGCTTGACTATTATGGTCAATCGTGGATGGATACCTAAAAGTCATCGCTATACTTACGTGAACGAGAATAAGATGACCGACGTTGTAGAAATTGTCGGCATTATTAGAGGGACTGAAAAACGACCTATATTTATGGCCAAAAATGCTCCTGCAAAAGGAGTATGGCATTACAGGTAGATACATGATGGATGTACTCTTTATATCTCTTTGGTTTATTTGTTCTTTTTCTATCTCAAACAAGATTTGTTTATAAAGAATTAGAGAAATTTAGTGATTGTGAGAAACTTATAAAACTATCGTAAGTGAAATCAAAGTTTTACATTAATTACAGAGACTTGGATGCAATGGCAAAGAAAGCGGACGCCGAACCTGTGTATATAGAATTGCTACACGAATACACCACACCTCAGGGACCGATTGGTGGTCAAACTAAAATATCTTTAAGAAACGAACATCTCAGTTACATAATTACTTGGTTCGCATTGTCCGCGTGTACGGGATACATGTGGTTCCAACACTTTATAAGGAAACGTCCTATCGTTTAGTCACATTATTTAGTCGCATTATTATTATTTTTTTTTTTAAAGGTCGATGTACCGCGTGTATATATTTTGTGTACAAACAGTGATATATGTATGTACGTTATAATTTACTTTTTTTAAAGTAAATTAATGTTTTTAATAATATTTCTTCTGTTTTATTCCGTATATAATTTTTTTTTTTTTATAGCAAATTTGTTTAAAGTAGATGAATTACGATCATTTTAAATGTGACATGTAATAGTTTAGTGTACAATCGAAAACAACAGGTTTACAAGATCCTTTATTCGATAAAAACGTGACAGTCGTATGGTGTTCGACCCTTTCGCTATAAACTGTTGACAAATCTAAAATGGTCATGGTCATATAACACAGTTACGTGAAATTAGCATAAAAAATATCTTTATACAACTATATGAAAATATACAATGTACAAAGTTACACATCGAACGAACGTAGCACGTTCGCATATTTGCTGTTGTACAATTATACATGATTTATATAATATTGACGATGACGATAATAGTCCAATTGTACGAAGAAACCGGTTGAAAAGAGACTTTCAGAATTGTCGGGGCACGACAAAAGTATAAGAACAACAATAAAAACGATAAATTTAATTACATTCAATGTGACAATTTAGAATTCAAATTGTGTGTTTTGTTTTTGCAAACAACTTTATCTCTCTGGACGTTTCCTGATTATTTCACAAATGTGTCGAATTGAGATCTTCTATGAATTTTTTGCTTTTAGTGCTATCTTGTTTGCTTGCAACAATTTTTTCTCGAGAAATCGATCTTCACATTTCAAGATGGTCAGCAACAAGTTGAGGCTTTCGTTTCTCATTCGTTCTGTGAAAAATCTCTATTTTTAATTTACAATTGCAGACAATAACTCGTGAATTTTTTTTTTTTTTTTTATTGTCGCGGTTTACATGCCGAGTGTCTTAGGAGAAAAAAAAATGTCTGTTCAGACCCCTGCGGAACGATTAAAATCTTATAAAATCAGCAATCGAATTAAATTCCTTCTAATAAAAGTTTCATCAAAACACACGCGCGCATTTGTTCGTTTTTACAACTTAAATTTTTTTCTCTACTTAAAAAACATATATAACTTTCTCACGTGTAATAAAACTGAGAACAATGGGGGGGAAGAGATAAAGTGTGTTTCTTTATTTTTAACAACGATTATAATGTAACTTATTTTCTAAAATTTGACTCTGTCGACATTGAATGACCGAAATCGCGTCTCGTCGTCATTATCGGCTACGTAGGGTTTTTTTTTTTTTTGCGTAAATACATTCATCGCGTATACTCTCTCATCAACTTGTAAACCCTTATTTAGTTTCAAACTTGAAAAGTTACAAGAGGGAGAAGCTCGGTACGCGGCAATCACTCGTTGAATTTTAATAAAAACGATGTTTTTGCGTGTGCCTGCACAAGCTGCTGGTAAGATGAGATTGTCGTTTTTTTTTTTTTTTCTACAGCCTCTCACTCTTCGACGTACTTCCGTATACAGAGTTTCTCTCCTTGGTATAATCATATAATAAACTCTCTTAAACGTATATTAGTTGCGCTAAGTTTCTACATTTGTATTTTTTGCTACATATATATATACTGCTCGGGCGACGTCCTCGTGTCGCAGACGAGGATGTCGAGAAGGCAAGTCGCGAGTCGATCCCTCCCTTCGAGGTCCGATCGTCACACTCTTATTTGATCCCTTGCACACCCCTAAGGGCCAGTTGAATCAACGGTCGATCAACTCAACGGAAATCGACACGCGGTCTTCGAGTCCTTCGAGTTAATCGACTGATCGAGTGAAAAAAAAAAAAAAAAAAAAAACCATTTCTTGTTTAATTGGCTTTTTAAGGAATGCGTTCTTATATACTACTTTCGCATTGTACTATAAATGTTTTATCAACAACGAACTCCCGAATTTACACTTGCGTACCTACGTATCGTACACGGATCCCGCACGATCTGTCTGTTTAATCAGCGTTGCTAGAAAAAGAAAAATACTTCAATTCTTGTTTGTACACGTCCCAAACGGCGCGTACAAACGTTTGTCTGTGACAAACGAACGCGTTTGCGTAAAACGTGTTGTTGCAAAAATTCAGAGTCCGGATCGCAACGCGGACACACGTCGCGTTGATTAAGCGTGAAAAAAAAAATTTTCATCAAAGGACATCTGTTATTGTATTATCGACATTTGAAGCGCTTGGAATTTAAGACTATTCAAATAAAAACTAATTACAAGTTCTGTGTTTATCGTCTGTTCTTCTAGAACGGCAACGCCGTAACATAAAACGGCGAAAGACACCCGTGTTGTATATGAATATATGTATACTATATTTAGTGTGTTTGGTCTCGATGTGTCGTACAATTTCCTGGTACTCTCGGAGTAAAGAAACGCTCTCTTGATCGTTAAAGTTTCTTCCGTTATTTCTCTTGCGCGTTACTCATATTTTTTTTTTTTTTTTTTTATCCAAAAATGACAGATTAAAAACGGCCAATAAGAGGCACAGGATCTTAGTGTGTTCGGATTGTTTATAGAAAATTCGTAAAATTTATAAACGCGTTTCGATTCATGTGTGTTTTTATCGATCCGAGTTCGATGATATCATTGTTTTTTTTTGTTTTTTTTTTTTTCGAACAGGTACGCGGACCAACGTTCAAAGTTCTACGAATAATTGTACGCTCCAGGTGTATGCGGGGGATGTGTGCGTGTCGATTCAGTATGCCTGTCTTCTTCGTGTGCGTGCGCCTCTGTTTTTTCTCACATTCTTTTCTTGCGCGACGTTTTTTTTTTTTTTATTCATTGAGCACGCAGGTGCGGACCAGAGCGTCGCACACGGAATAGGGATCGCAGTTGCTGCTGGGTCTTCTGTCCTCCAGATAGCCCTTCTTTTGCTCGGCGACGTCGCGAGGAATTCGAATGCTGGCAGTTCGGTTCGCCACACCGGCGCTGAAATCGTGAATGTTGCTGGTCTCGCACTTGCCGGTCAATCGGCGCTCGTTGTCCTTTCCTCCGCGCGGATCGTACGCTTGGATGTGCCTGAGATGTTGCTTGCTGAGCTTGTCGATCGCCTTCTCGATCTCGGCTATACCGTTCTCCGTGCGCATCGATTTCGTCGAGAAGTTGTGGTGCGCGCCGGCGCCGTTCCACGAACCCTCGACCGGTTTCGGATCCAGAGTAACGATCACGCCGTACTCCTCGGCGACGTAATGCAGAATGAATCGGGCGATCCACAGATCGTCTCCGGCACTAATACCCACGCACGGTCCCACCTGGATCCGTAACACAAAAAAGTCAATATTTATAAACATTGACGTGTAACCGATGATTTTTAAACATATATGTAAATAGAGATATGTAAATTTTTTAATATTTTTTTTTAACATATACTTAACTTTTCAGATATGTAAATTAATGTTTTTTTCAACGAACAACTTTGAATGAACTCCGTGTCTCACCTGGAATTCCCATTGCGAGGGCATGACCTCGGCATTGGTTCCCGAGATCTTCACGCCGGCGTACAGACAGGCTCTGTAATGGGCCTCCACGATCTCGCGTCCGATCACCTTGTCGGCGCCGACCCCGCAGTAATAAGGACCTTGCGGACCCGGAAAACCGTTCTTCGGCCAACCGAGCGGTCTTTGGTCGAAGTCCAGAAGAGTGTACTCCTGCTCGATACCGAACCAGGGTTCTTCCTCCTTGATTGATTCCATCGCTTGATTCGCGCGATATCGTTTGTTCGCTTTCGTCGGTGTAACTTTGTCGCTGTAATAAGTGTCGCAGAGCACAAGTCTGTTGTTGCCGCGACGGAAGGGATCTTTGTAAATGGCCACGGGGAAAAGATATATCTCACTGTTGGTGCCCTCAGCCTGATACGTCGAGCTACCGTCGTACGTCCACGTTGGTAGTTCTAGACAACAACAAGAAAAAAAAAAATGATCGATCGATCAAGTTTGATGTGGGAAAAAAATATCGAGAAACTCTCTGAAATTACATATTTTACACAAAGACGTAAACATATTACATATGCGCGCGTATTTATGACTCACTAACCAGAAGGATGTTTCGGTACAAAGTCCAAAGTTCTGGTCTTGCTACGTATTCCTTCGCCTGTACCGTCGATCCAGATGTATCTCGCTTGAATCGTATTTTCCGGCTGAGGCAGATCCAAGTACTTGCTCAATATAGTTTTGTCGAACGCCGCGTTCGGCGATTCTTTCAGTATGGTACGCGACATTGTGGTGCTGAAACAAAGAAAGGAAAATGTATTCGGAACACGGATAAATAAGAAAAAATTTATGTTTTTAATAAACATTTGTAATTGTTACACGATATACGACTTATACATGAGATATGATAAATATACACGCGTAAGTGAGAAAAAAAATGTGTATTAGATGTAATAATTACAATAGAAACAATTGCGAAAGACAGATTTAACGTCCTCATTCTGCGTTAATTATTGTATGTAATTTTGACTTCGTTGTATAGCGCTTTAGAATACGATACAAGAGTCTAAAACGTTTTTTCGTTGTGGAAAAGACTTAAAAGTGACCGCGTGGCGCCGTCCTCGATCAGCACGAACAACGGACGACGCTATATCCGCGACGACGATGTAACGCGCATGCACGCGGTTGAAAAAAAAGGAAGAAGTTTTCGTGGTGTTGGTGCTGCAGAAAAGATAGGTGCGCGCCCACACGACGCTTCACGCGCGGAACACGCGAGCCGCGCGTGCATCGCACTCTCCTCAGCGCGTTGGAATGAGCGCATTGGCGCCGACCAATGTCGGGTATTTTCCTTTTGGACGACGATCTCTCGCTCGAAAATCCCGTCGAAAAAGTCATTGCTTGGCAAACGTCTGATAAATAAATTGCGGAGGCGATTGCGCAGGTGTCGTTTCTCTCGCACGTCGAAGATGCGTGTGTTTCGCGTTACGAATATAAATTCTAATAAATCTAGAGATGATTAATTTTTAATTTATTTATGTTGCACACACAATAAATCGCGTGTATAATTTCTAGGGGGAAATTTTTAAAAAAACCGCGATCAATAATATTGAAGTTGTACAACTTTCTTCTCAATGAAATAAAAAATGTTAATTTTTGCGTGTATTTATAACAACGTAATAATAATTTGACGCGCGTCTATCGCAACTGAGAAAGGGCCGATGTCGTAAAAAGTAGACTCGATGAAAGATTGAAAAATTACCGACTTTCACTTTGGACAAGGCCAAATTATTGTTACATATGCAATACCTTTCTTGGTGATTACGTAACGCATTCGTGTTTTTTTTTTTTTTTTTTTTTTTGGCAATCGCGCGATGTGACTTTAAAATGTTATTTATTTGTCGAGTGCGTCTCATATCGAGTGTATTATTTTCGAATATATTTCGAGCACCTGTGTTATCTTCATATTCACGATCGCGAATAATACGTGTGTGTGAACACACACAACATATAGATGATAGCTTTCGATATAAATAGATAAGAATTTTTTTTTCCACAGTTATTACCGGGTAATGAAAATTTTTTGTTTTTCTCGTTTTTCTCGTTGTTATCTAAACGGCCGTCTATCAATCGTCAAGATCAATCCGCGTTAATGGTTTCTAGTATCGATCTTTAATTCGATCTTTTTTTTGTCTCTAATAAAAAATGATTTTTTCTTTTTTACTTGATAACTTTACGTCTGGCCAACGGAAAACCAGCGCGAAAAAGAAATGTGAAAATAAATGTATAGAGGTTAATGTACTTCCTCCTGTCTGAATTATCGCAATTACATTTGTGATTGTATTGTACAACAACAGCAACATTTGCTCGATCCGAATTTTTTTTTAATCTACTACTACTACTATTACGACTAAAAATATACACTATCTGCATCACGTGCTGCTGACACATCTCAACGTATCATTTGTCCAGACCCATAAACTCTGAATATCAAGAAAAACAAAGGTGAAGTCGTATCGCTTTATATACTTGCGTTTTGTTACTCGCACGTGCGATTCATGCGAATGTACATACGTGTAACTGTCTTTTTTTCTCGCGTAAAAGTGAAATTAAAAAACCCAAAACCTGTTTCGTGCAACAAAACTGTTTAAAATTCGCGTGTGTGAGTAACAAATATAAATTTTCTCGCATATAAATTTGTCACTTTTTTGCGACGTGGATTTGGAAAGCGTTTAGAAACCGAATTTCTCGAGGAGCAACAAGAAGCACAATGTGAAGAAATGAAGTGCCCGCTTCGAGGCGACATCGTCCTTGACCTCTCTCTTGTACGTTGGCAGAATCGAATGTAACTCTTTTTTTTTTATATAAAATTCTGACTTTCTAATTCGAGAAAACATTTATCGAAAAATACATTGTCGTTCGACGTGAACGAAATCGTCTGTCAACAGTTACCTTGCAATAAAAGAAAAATGGTTGATAAAAATCCAACTGACGTATTTGCTTATCAAACATTCGACTTTTATCGCGGTATTTTTCCGAACGATTGCGTGCATTGCTGATGGAACATTGTTGTACGATTATTGAGATTCATTTTTTTTTTTCCAATAAGTATTACGCTCGCACTTTTTATACATTGCGACTTTTATTTTCGTGAAGAGATATTTATTCAGAAACTTTCTCTTCTAATGTAATTATTGTACGCAATGAAGATATCTAGTTGAAATCGCGCGTACGTGTACGCCTCTCACGTACACTCGCGTTAAGTGCACGTGATTTATTCGATACTTGTAAAATTTAGTTGCTCAACAAAGAATAATTTTACTTACATGCTGCAGATTCGACATTTAAATGTCAAAAAGAAAATATTGAGTCATTAAATATAAAACTTGACAAATATACATATATATATTGGAAATATATACTTGTTAAGTTATACTTAATGACCTGATATGTGACATTTATTTTATATTTGACATTTATTTTATGTTTAATGACGTTAATATATGAAATCTTGTAATTTTATACTAGTTTCTACTAGTTTAGTTCATTTATGTTTAATTATCGCTACATCAAATGATTATTTACACCAAATTCTCAAATTAACATACAATAATCACGTTAAGCGCGTAAAGATGTAAATATATAAATAATCTGCGATTTCGCCGCGCGTAGACAAATTGGACGAGTAAAAAAGAACGTCTTCGCGACTTTTTTGTGTATCTTCCAAATCAATAATATATTTAGATTTTTATCTTAAACTTTCATCGCCGGAGATGTATCTCTTATATTCGTGCACGTATTTTTTATTTTGAGCGCACAACCTATATTTTCAAATATTTACGTTTATTCCGAATGTGTTTAAAATTAATTTCGATTTTTATACGATATATTATACAAATTACACAAATTTCATACAAATACGATATTACACAAATTTACATATGTTTCATACAAGTTGAAACATACATTTGTAATAAGCGGTTTGCAATGCACATTTTCACATGCTAATTAATATCGACCTAAAAAACTTACTTATCAAATCTTCAAAATACATAGTAACTAATTTTATATTTTAGTTCTATTTTTACCAACCTAAAACATCTGCCAACAGCGATCCATGACTTTTGCTCGATCATCACGGATCGCAGGACCCTCTGCCCGCAGATCCTAACGAGGATGTTGGTGGTCATGATTGCGAAATTGTTTCGTTTGGATTTTTTACGAAATTATGCGATCTCTATTATCGCGCGTTATGCGGTCTCTTGTGGAGAGGAAGCGACGGAGAAGAAATTCGTGAACGACGAAGCCACCACGGCAAAGAAGTTCGGAGCGGTGTCGAAAAGAAAGTACACGAGAGAGCAACGCACCCTGAAGACTGGTCCACAAGGAGTGAGAGTGGGCCATTTATATATGGACGCCCCTCTCCAATTGCTATTGGTGAGCCTCAGAAGGCCCGGCTAACTCGTTTCATTTCTTTCGAGTCTTTTCACGATAGCGTATATACACGAAATCTCTCACGGTTCACAGAAAAACAACTCGTCTCCGTCAACTCTTCACAAACCAATCGCGAGAGATAATTTGATTGCATAAGTCACGTGTTTGAAATTACCCACTCGAATATAAAAATCATTTGTTCGATTTATATCAAATTAAAAGTTAGCTCTGTATCTTTCTGTTTTGTCAGCGAAATGAAACACGTGCGGGATTTTCAAACGTGTTGCGTTTCCGTACGCGTGTATATGTGCAATGTGTGTGTACACACACGCGCTAATAGATATAACACACTAATCGCGTTACACATACATTTTATATTAATTATCACGAGAACGCGAATCGTAACAGATAAGAACGTAAAGTGACTAACAGTGAGAACAACTTTCGAATTACACTTTAGATTGTTAGATCGCTTTAGATTAATTGTTTATTTATTCTTGAAACAGGTTAAATAAAAATGAAGTATAACGGAATGAAAATTAAATATCCGTCGAGACGCGTGTCGCGTCTGGAATTTCAATTGGTTAAGTCAGAATGTACTTGCGGAGTTAAAAGAAGAGCAATAAAGTGTATTATGTGCGGTTGATGCCCGTTTATATTGAATAAAAAATATTAACTCGAGAGTGTGGCGCGACATTTAAGAGAGAGAGAGAGAGAGAGATTATTTTTAACCAGTTAATTGTCGTGAGAATTTCATATTAAGAATGAAAATGTGCGATGAGTTTCGAAGGATTAATTAATACATTGCACTTGAATATTTTCATTAACCTGCTTCGTGTTAAAGGAAATGTCGAATCTTGAGTCTTAGTTTTTTTTTATATAAAAATATATGATTTTCTCGATATGCAACGTTTGAAGAGAGACCGACTCTTTATGGAACGTGACATATTAACACTTTACCAGCGGGCACTTTCGGCGCGGAATAATTTTATTTTAATCTTTATTAATTAAAATTTTAACATTCTTTCAATGTACCATATTTTTCAAAACATTTTTCACGCATACGTGATTCTCGCCGCAAAAGTGTCAGGTATTATAATTGCAAAAATTAAAATTTCCAAGTTAATATCGGTTGTTTTAATTAATTCACGATCGTTGTTCGTGCGATGCGTTACGTATGATATGTGTTTAAAGTAAACAAGATATGTATCTCAAGATATATATATATATATATATATATATAACAATATCAAGTATGTGTTTTTGAAATATTTCGATGATTTAACGATAATTATTTCAAGAGGCTTGTGATAAAGTTTTTTTTCCGAAGATTTAATTCTTTTCTCAACCAACCGGAAAGAGCACGAAACGTGACTACAAGTCATGCGGTTCATTTCTCTCTATTTGTTCATCGCTTATCATTGCTTACATGGATTCTGTCTTCAACGAGAAGCAAGACTCTCTTTGTATCTATCTTGTTTATTACTATTTTTGTATACTCGATAAAACATAAAAACGTCGTTAAAAGAAACGATACACAGGGTGTCTCGAAATTCGTGATTTGAAACATCATAGCGGAAAAGGTCTTTGAAAAATAAGGAAACCAATTTAATGTGCGATTTCTTTCAGTTCCAAGTAGTTTTTAAGCTACACGTCTTTTGAGTTTGCGTCTCAAAATCTACCGATCGAAAAATACAAGATCGCAAGTAATTTTTGTTTTCTTAAATGTTCGAAAAACGATTTCGTTGTAGTAATTCCGAATTTGCGTTAGAAAACACTTCGTGTACACTGGTGCCACGTTGTTACACGTGTGTGTAACGTTATAATAAAATTATTGCAAATCGGTATCTAATCGCATTTGCGTCATAAATTGACATCCTTCGGTGATGATTTCGCTTTTGATCGTCGGACGCGATTGTGAAAGCACAATAAGTCGTAATCTATTCTCCGTAGGTTCTAATTATACAGTGAAGACGCAACGGAGCGAGCGAGAATACGAGCGTTGCATAGCGCTCGATAGTTGATAACATTTTTTTTCTTTTCTCAAAAAAACAAGACCGCGATATCGCTTTGTAACGTTTTTTTTCATTTTTACTGTTATCGCGATATAGACATGTACACTAGTAGTACAAGATCGCACGATCAAGTACAACATACTTGAAGGCCTGAGTGTTCCACTGACCTACACTCGTCATCAGTGAACAATTCTTATATAGATCCTTCATTTAAGGATTTAGCCTAGTTCGAATATAATCTGATCTCCGAAATCAAAAATATATATACCGATATATATATATATATATATATCGGTAAGGATATCTCAAGTAAGTTGCGAGTTTATGACGTCGACACGACACCGATGAAAGAAATATATATACATATATATATATATATATATATATATCGGTAAGGATATCTCAAGTAAGTTGCGAGTTTATGACGTCGACACGACACCGATGAAAGAAATCGATGTCTTACAGAACGTGCTACACAAAAAGCTTTCGTCACGAAGATTTTATTTATGTCGCTTCTCTCAGATGCACAGATATTAATATCTTTGCAAAACTATATGCGTAAATATACCTCTGTGTGAATCATGTAAAATATATAAAGACTTTCGAATATTATGTTATTAAGAAAATAATTAAAAAAATTATATTGTTCATTTGAAGCGGTTCTATGTGTTATCTAATTTTTTTCCGCTAGGTTTCGCACGTACGTTTTTAGATGAAAAATCTCATGCTGAGCTACAGTCGATGGGAACAAATTAAAAGGAAGCCATGAAATCAATCAAGAGTGGCAATTAGCGATGACTCGAAAAAAGAGAACGACGCTTTTTGCGCGCTTAAAAGAATTTTTCATACTTCTCGTTTGCATTCGTAGATTCAAGGCAAAAAAAAACATAGATGGTTTGTTGCGTTATATTCGTTCACAGATTTCGAAAAAGATTTTTTTGACACTCGGTTATCGGAAACATCCCTTTTGTATCGCAAAATGTTTTTTCCAATTGCATTTCATTGAATTTGGTTTCAAGAGAAGTTTCGAATCGACTTGTTTAATAAAAACTTCAGATAGATTGTGAACGCGGAAAAAACGCGCAGTCGGATTTTTTTTTTTTCCATCGCGGAGAAAGAGCTAATAGAATTCTTTGCTCTGTGAATGTGGTGTCTTTTGTTGGTTCAAAAATAAATGCGCGTGCGGGTGCAACGGTCCGCTTGGCCGTGCCAAGTTTCCGCAATGCATCGTACTTATTTGTTGCCTCTCAGGGTCAAACAAACAATCGCGGTGTCACGCCTACTATTTCCGACACACCTGAAGGACAACCTGTCATCTAGCTCTCGTACTGTCAAGAAGAAACTCAATTGCTCCTCTTTTTCCGCATCGCTCTGCTGAAGGTGTTTCTAACACTGACCTAGGAATTGAAAGAGAATAAGAGAAACGCGAACTGGATAAGAATAAGTGAAAACTTGTTGAAAAAACAAAGCACTTTCTGTCTAATCGCGGACAATTTATACTACTGTAAGTCCTCTAATACACTTCAAAATTGAAAGAAACAATGGCTATGTGATAATTGTCAATTGTTTGACACTTCTTTCCGTTAGGATTTGAGTATTTTTTTTCGTTATCGCATCGGAACGTCTTTAGGTCTGTTTGTGATTTATACATAAACAAATAAATAGATAAATTCTATTATGCGTACATTCAAATATACGAATGCATTTAAAGAGAGAGAGAGAAAAATACAAAAATTACGTTTGAGATTATGTCTTAGTTAGTTACACGTGGATTTTTTTCTGTAACAAAGTTACGCGCTTTTGTTAAATACTCGTGATCTCTATCACAATAATATCCGCCAGAGTAGAGAATATTTTAATAATTTTACACGCTAAAAAAATCAACAAATTAACCAGTAAACTGTTTAATTTGTTTTGTTTTTTTTAGTACATAATTAAATTGTAAATTTAGAATTTTACACGTTAAAAAACCAACAAATTAAACAGCAGACTGTTTAATATTTATTTTGTTTTTTAATATGTAAAATTATTAAAATATTCTCTGATCTATGTGTGTTTTTCCCAATAATTTCAGAAAATTCGCAAAGAAAAATTCTTAAATGAAACAAACCTACTTTGCCGAGTTTATTCCTCACTAGTGGCGCGAACACGATTCATCCACGATGAGAACACCGCACACCTGAGCAAGCGTACTGTCGCAGTCGATTGTTGGCAGAATAATGTAACGTCGGTTGACTACAACATATATGTATATATATACATGTACACATATATATAGTATATATATATATGTATATATATATATATATACATATAATTCACGAAAATAGTTATACGTGTGCAACAGATGTACGCCAAGTAGATCTGCACGACGGCGTGGACGCAACTGAGGAGTCGCTTGGTCTCGCGTTTGCGAGAAAAAGATCTATCCTCTTTTATACCCCACTTCACAAACCGAGAATGCGTTAGTAGCGTATCTTACGTAAGTAACATACGAACTATCTCTCTCTCTCCCTCTCGAGTGATATGATGTATCCTAATTTTTTTAAGTAGTTGGCAAAATAATGATAACGATAGACAAATTCGCCGCATGTTCTATTTTTTACGTCAGTGATATCGCGAAAATATCGTTCGGGGTAATACGGAAAGATATGCTCTTGCAATACTTGTGATTGAAATATTTATGTTGCGCACGCGTGCGTTTAATGTCCGCATTTGTTCGCGCAACAACAATCGCTTTGTGCAAAAACTTCTTTTATTGAATATTGCTAAATTCATTCATCGAACTTCTCCCACACGGAACAAAACGTTCGAGTCAAACTTCAAATAGATGTTCATTAAAACGTCACACGGAATTATAGATAATAACGTTTAACAAACGTTACGTCTGCGTGGGCTTAAACTATCTAGCGACGTTTTAAACGTTTTCAAATTGTTTGCTCGTTAGCACGGCAACGTCAAATTAAAAGGGCAAACACGTGTACACCGCCTACCTTGTCGTGCGACAGAGATAATGTTGTCTCAGATTATTCTCTCTCAGATCTGATTTAGCAAAGTTATGCAAACGCACGAGTTAAATTTTTTTTTTCACAATTTACTAACTCGTTCTAAGTAAGATTGATAAAAGTGATGTTTTGTTTATCAATTTATTGCGGACGTAACTTGGTAATGT